AATGAATAACATTTATTGTTACTTTATTTTTGAGAAACGTCAGAGTCAAACGGTCTACTTTTGTAACTCAAACTTCAAACGTTGATTATTTAATATTTACATTATTTGCTAAATAATTTTGTTTAACGCTGACATTTTTCCAATGACATAAAACTACATTGCAAAGCGTATTTAATGAAAATATAGACTTTCATGTAGGTACCCTATACTAAATATATGTATGTATTTAGTAATCTTAAAACAAGTTTTTAAACTTATTGACGTGACAACGTCTTATAATTCGATGGAGCCCGCTGCACGCACGAAAAAACATGACTCATGCGGCGTTACCTCGCTCTGAGGCGTTACCTCGCTCTGAGGCGTTACCTCTCTCTGAGGCGTTACCTCGCTCTGAGGCGTTACATTTAAAATTGACATAATTGTATTTATGCGTACAAATAAATGTAACTTGATCAATTCAATTGTGATTTCCATTTACCTCCTTCTCTATATCCATACAAAATACCTATCAAACAAATAAAATTTAATATTTTTTTTGAAAAATGCAACCATCCCATCAATATTTTTTTATGACGTTGTCACGTTCAACTATCGTCAGTAAACCGACTTTACAGACAACCGATTTTGACGTGACAACGTCTTATAATTCGATGGAGCCGGCTAGAGAAAAAACATGACTCATGCGGGTTACCTCGCTTGAGGCGTTACCTCTCTCTGAGGGATACCTCGTTGAGGCGTTACCTCGCTCTGAGGCGTTACATTTAAAATTGACATAATTGTATTTATGGTACAAATAAATGTAATTGATTATTTCAATTGTGATTTCCATTTACCTCCTTCTCTATATCCATACAAAATACCTATCAAACAAATAAAATTTAATTTTTTTTTGAAAAATGCAACCATCCCATCAATATTTTTATGACGTTGTCACGTTCAACTATCGTCAGTAAACCGACTTTACAGACAACCGATTTTTTTTAATAAAGCGAGTGATGCAATTGCCTACCTTGATGATGTCCTAAGTTTGGGGGACCGTAATCTCAGTTTCTTTACTTGGTGTCCCGGTGAAATCTGTAAAACCCTAGGCCCCATCAACAATAGCAGTAATTCACTTGGTGTTACTTTAATGGATTTTATGTCTCTAGGCTGTCTTAATCAAGGCAATATCTTATTAATAGTGATAAGAGAATATGAGATTCAGTTCATTCCAATGTTGTTTAACTCTTCAGGAAGCAGATAATCACCTAATTGAAAAAGATAAAATACACCTTCCGCTAGAAATACACTTTATGTAGGTTTGTAAAAATACAGAATCCACTAAATTAAACTTTTACAAGGCAGATTATTCTGCGATGAATACGTATTCTACCACATTTTAAATTGCAAGTGTTGCCACCGCAGATTTTCCCACCTTCAAAGGAATTGCCTGCGAACGAGTTCTGCTTACTAGTAGTATAATATAATTTAACCTGATCGTTATTAAGAAATATTACACAGTCGATTCGATTACAAATTCAAGAAATAACTATAACGACAGTGCAGCAATCAGCTAATACAATTTTTAATAAATAAGGCTCTGTTTAACTAACATGTAGAAGAATTCTTCCAACACGTCACAAGCACAAAATTGTAGCTCGCTTGTTCCTTATGGCGTAACAAAACGATGATTTCAAGGTAACGATGTAAATAAAAAAAGTAAATCATAATAATTTTTATTATAACACCAATTTTTACAATAATACAATCGAATATTTTACTGTAATACCTGTATTGAAAAATTGATTACATACACATCTAGTTCCTACATTTAACTTACGAATAGATTATCATATGAACGTATATCTCAGAAAACCGCTATATATATTGGTTTAATTCGTACATTAAATACAGGAAAGAGTGGTCAAGTAATTTAACAATTATTTGATTACATTTATACACATTAATTCTAAGGATTTTGAGTAGGGATCGGATCTAACTTATTAAATGCAAATAAAATGACTGGCGACATCTATTAGACATTAGGACGATGCTATTTAAAATCTAATACTCGTCTCAATAAGGTTTTCTTAAAATGACTGAGAATCTAAAATTGTAACATACACACAAATTTGCTCAGCTGACATAATTGTCTAGAATATAATAATAATAGGAATATCATACCAGGGCCCTGTATTCTGTAACTTCCGATAGCGGTACCGACCACGATCCGGAACTTGAAGATTGCGACGTCAGAGCTATTGTGACAACTACATTGAACGAACAACGAACGAAGTTACAGGGTACGGGCACTGATTGCACAACTGTTGTATTGTATAAAACAGAATACGACAACTGTCTCTATTTAAAAATGTAAGAAAATCAAGTCAAGTAATTTAATTTAAATAGCGTACCTACATACATAACTAACTTCTAAAGCTTATCTTATTAAAAGGATAACCTTTGACAGAGAAACACAAAATTTTAATAAAGTTGCACCAAAAACAATCTTTACATTTTAAGTGAATTTTTTTTTACAAATCTTTAATAGTAATATTATCGTTTACAAATCTTTAAATTTAATATATTTTTAATATCTGTAGCAGATCCAAACGTCAATTTAAAATCAAACTTTAAATTAATAATTATATCAACAGATACACCTTAATGTCTTTTCCTGTTACGTTAGATGAACACAAATGAGGAAAATATCATCTTAACCGTCAGGAGATGCGTCCGTGGCCTATTAAAATTTATTACAAACCTTTAAGTTTTATACATGTAACGTCGGTGTTCTGGAATTTGGAAAAGTATAATTGTATGGTCACAAATAACATATTAAATTAGTTTTATTTATGATAAAGATAAAAAATTAACGTGTTATATTCGTTTTTGAAATCAAAGGCCTTCGGATCTGTCAAAATAAAAAGCTAACCTAGTCTATTAGGAAATTGTTACGACTACTCATTACATACACATAAATATTAAATATCACAAACTAATGTCAGTTCAGTCAAGTTTTAACTACACAAAGCGATTGTACAACGCAAAATTATTTTATGAACACATTCTCTAATGAAATATGAAGCTGAAAACCACATAAATATTTATAATAAACCAATTTCTTACCCCCTTACGGTCTTTTTGTTCGAAAAAGTCATAAAAAATATTTTAAAAAAAACCCCACCGTGTCATATATTTATTATATGGATTTTAAGTTACGTGGCCGCATGTGACTGTTCTTATTAAAGGTTTTCCTCTTTTTCTTAAGGAACGAAGGTATTTTAATAGAGCCCAATCTTAATTATTGTTTTTACTATTACATTTTTAAATTAATATTACTTATCTAAATGAAATATTTTGTTTTTACGTAAATATTCGAGATTTGGCGGGTATAGAAACGTTATGATAATGCAAACGATGAACAGCGAGGTAGATTAAGCATAGTTTGTTCAAAACCCATTCAAATGTTATACACATATAGCTAGCGAAAGCACGTCAAAATGTTATATGTAATTAAGTTACCAAAGTTTTAAATTTCCGTATTATCTATAAACATTTAAGGACATTAATCTCTATTTTTTTAATGGAACTGAAATAATCTATATTATTTTCGTCAACCATTTACTAGTAATATGAACATTGTCATCATTTATACTTGAGTTCCCATCTTGTTTCACGATTTTGTAAAATATAGTGCGTAGAGTACGACTTTTTTACAAAAATCTCAGCGTTGTATTTGTCATTTGCAATATAGCATGCATATGACAGCTGTCAGTGTTAAGTCTTGGCGCGTATCGCAAGACTACTAGGTGAATGTGTAGACTAAATAGTTTTAATCTAATTAGATTTTCATCGAGTTGTCTATGTATTAGCTATCGTTTAAATCAGCTACAAACGATTTTGTATTTCAAAACATTTAAGAAGGATAGAGTTTGCACGACGTCTATGGTTAGAAGAGTATGGAAAAGTAGAAGTACACTAGTATTCTAACACATATGTATTATATACCAAGATGAAGCCATATACCGCCTTAGTACAGAGGAATGAAGTTGGCTATTGGTGGCTATTACTCGCTCTTTATGTTCCGACATATTATTGTAACCATCGTAGATGCTTATTACTTATACCATGGCCCATTCTAAATCCAGTTCCGAGAATTATCAAACTTTTAAAATTACCTACAAATTGCGATCAGTCAAACGTGGTGTCACCTGCGTTTAGATTTAATGATTCTTTTGCCAATTTATCACTGGCAACATTTCTAGTCAATAAAGCGAATATAAATAAAATAGTTGAGAAACGTTCAGTCAATAGCTTATAAACTAACAAATTCTTTAGAAACAAACAGGTTACGGATATTGAGCAATTGAAAAGCGGGAAACTTTTACACAATATTTTTAAGATAATTGAAAAAAAGCTTTGGGACTACAGCATTCTTTTAGAGCTATTCAAAAATTTCGTTCAACGCTCAAAATCCATTCCTTATGCTATACAATAGCTTCTACACCGTAATATCACGATAATAGAGTTCAGTTTTTAATACAAATAATCGTTGACACCACTTTAACCATATACAAGCTTTGTTTCATCTGTGGTTTTTCATTGTCGAAATGGTAATTTTTCATAAATTGTTTATATTAATAATTCTGTCAATGTACCGTTGGTATGAAAATATACCCTTGTATTTCTATAGATCCATTATAGTAAATATTTTCTACGCGAACATTTAAAGATGGATTACAATATTTCTTACAAATTTCCTCCTTGAATATATTAAACATTGAATACACACACATTGTAGAATAATAACTTATTATTAATAAATTCAAAAGTAAAAATATAATTGGAAATTAACAAATTATTAAATGGCAAAACTTTGTTCTTTGATGTCGACTGAAAGACATGATGATCATAAATTAAAAAAGGTTAACAGCTGACATATTCCAAATTCAAAATCATGATAATAAATTAATAATTGATTGAAATTTGCGCATTACACATTATTTATATGGTACAATTTAGGAGACGTCACACTCATATTCCAGAACGGTCTTGTGGTAGAACAGCAGGTATCTGTAAGGGAATAATAAATGCTTATTTTGAGATATTGAGGAAAAAGTAATAATAATAGTCACAAGAAATAAGTTCATGATAAACACGCAATTGACATTGGTAGGACTCCGAGTTGGCCAATCATTCGGGTGCGTCCACACCTGGCGCGTCTTCCTTCCGCCCACGCCAGTAAACGGAATTGTAAGCGTGCGCGCCTTGTACGAGCCTTGCATGAGTTGCGCTAAAAAGGCGCACCAAACCATTGCCGTGACTGCACGCGCGCAGCTCGCGAGATGCACATTCGCGGCACATTCGCCAGATGTGGACGCACCCTAAGAAGGCAAGCTATTTTTTGGTTTTACCTACTAAAATTCATTTAACCCACCACAAAAACTTTTACTAATCAACATTCCCATACTAATAACGTCACAATTTGGTAAGGTTTTGCTTGGTATTAGCGCTTTTACTCTAAGTAGACACTTAAAAGACAAATTATGTGCTAAATTACGCGCTGGGAACTATAAACAATTTTTAAAAGGAAATAATAATGAATAACATATTTACGGAACAATATTAGTGAAACAGATGCAGTTTTCCCCGTGCAAAGTTGCAAGCATATCCATAAAGCTTTTATGTTATTATAACCCGGGTTTCAAAGATCAAAATACTAATCGTAAATGCTACGGGTCGTGTATGATTCTACATTAATTAAAGAGAGAAAATATTTATGCGTTTGTTTCATTTTCGCAGCTAATTCTGGTTTGATATAAATAATTACAAAAAAAACGTTTTGCCAATTGCATATTTAGTCATAGAAAACAAGTATAACTCGATTCTTTTTTTCTGTAATATTTCAGTAAATAATGAACGAGACAGAACTGAATATTACCAATAGATATTTAGTTATTGTATCATAAGTCTACCATAGGCTGGGGCATGGGACGCATTATATGGCAAGTAAGTTACCATCCTTCTTCCAACTGAAATATTATTTCTTCGCTAATAACTAAACCAAGAACTTTCTGATACTCCATTTAAACCTGGCAATAACGAACAGACATGTCAGTTATGCATATTTTCAGAGCAAACAAACAGCCAAATAAAACGTAGATAAAAGTTAGTCTGTTATCATGGTTAACATTTTATATGGAAACACCATCGTAACCATGGTAACAAATACGTAGTCTGTACGTAAATAGAACCGTCATGGGATTGAAATCGCAGCAGTGCTTGCAACCTTGTTATATTAACAACATTGTTACGTCTAAATATAATAGTTCGACAATAATCTTAATACTTAATATGAAAAAAATTAAAGTATAATATTTTTGTGGAAAAATAAAATGACGCCTAAATTATATTAGTTCGCATAATTTCCGCACAGACTACTAACTTGTGTACGTTATATGTCTAAAGAGGTTTTAATCTTACCCCTCACTATCCAGCACTTCCCTCAGCGAGGCTCGTGTAATCATGTGATCGTCACATTTGTACCAGCTGCCTTTCATCTGGCGGACGTACGCAGTGTAGTGCCCCGCGTCCAACGAACCGAGGTGGTTCACCACGGCGAACAATGAGTATCTGAAATTGTCATAATGATCACATTTATTTAAGTGAAAATCTTTGTAATTCCATTATACAAAAGAAACATTATTCATTGACAGTTACAATTATTACGTCGCAAGAGCAATAAATAATGAACTGGTAACTTACTCAATTTATTCAATACGTTTAAACGGTAGAACAAATAATTAGTTTTTGTATAAAAATGCTAGGAATGTCAATCCAACACGGACATTGGATATAAACTATAATTTATTAATAAAGTTAATTTAATGTACACTTATGAACGTCAGATTTTTTTTACTAAATTTGCATTTACCCCAGTTCTGAATTCAAGAGCGTCGAAAGAACGAGAACAACTGGCAATGATTTTAAACTAGGTACTATATTATAAATACTATTATTACAAAGGCGACTTCTTTGTAATACGCTTCTTTAAAATCAGTGTGTCAACAACCCCTTAGCCTCATATATCTATATCTATTTCATAACCATTTTTTTCTTACTAGCCAAGTCGGTGATCAACCTTCTGTGCCTGACACACGCCATCGACTTTTGAAGTTATACTTCTTTAGGCGCGTTATGAAAAATGGATGAGAATGAAATTTTACGATGCGCGCGCACCGTGACACAAAATTAACAGAATGAAGTTGCCCACGGAAGATGCTACGGCATTGGAAATAATTTTAAAACAACATTCGAATAATAATAGAATTTATGTTACACTTAATGTAAGAGAATAATAATAAATATTTATTTATTTAATTTATCAAAAATGTTAACTGAACTTTATTGACTATAATGCCTACTTATCCAGTCTTTGATTATTTAATTGTAATCAATTATTTGCATGCAATCAAAAACTATTTTTAAATAATGCCAAAGAAGTATAACTTCTTACGCGCGTACATAAGTACACGCACCCTTTTTTTTATGTATATGGCATACCAGTTGCCTTACATTTCACAGTACGAGCGATTGTTTAATGCACATCGAAACAAAAGTCTATTGGCACAGAAGTGGATCGAATCGTCGATCTCATGAATGAGAGTCGATGAAACCACTCCTTATAATTAGCTTCCTATTTTTTTGGCTATGTAACATCAGGCCTAATTACAGTTAAAGGAAACACACGCACTTTCTTTTTAGAAATAGCTAATAAAAAATTAATGGCTTACCTATTATCTTCAAAAATCCCTTCGGGTGCATTGTTATTATCGGCTGCATCTACAGCCCTGCGGTGAGACGACATAAATGGCGTCATGTCCAACTCAGCGGGGAACGAAACGAAGGCCGATATTTTTCTATCTATTTGCGAGGAATGCTCAAATCGCTTCAGATGGAAACTGGCGACGATTGGCAGTGTTTCTAGGGTTAATTGTTTTGTGGATTCGCGGTACGCCCGACAATTGGAGCATTTGATTTTGGCCGCGGAGCCCAAGTGTTCGGCCCGAGTGAAGCGTTCCAAACAGGCTTGGAGGGAGCTGAAAATGAGAAAAGACTCTAAAGATATACTTTATTTAAATCGTATTTTGAAATTAGAATCTTTACTAGTTGCGGGTATTATAACTATTTTGAAGTTATCCGACGTTATAATAAACATTACTTCAAATCCGATTACAATAGTGTTTTATTAAATGAATAAAAGTTATGTTAATCAAAGACATATACTTTATTTAAATCGTATAATAAAATTAGACTCCTTACAGTGCGCATATCATATTACTTTTTGGAAGTAACTGCACAATTGCTAAACAATCTTCAATGTCGGTTCTAAAGAGAGAACAATACAATGATGCGACAGAGCCCTATGAAGCTAAAACTGACAGATGTCAAATGTGATATATTAAATTAGGCCGAAATTACGAGTATGAACGGCTTATAAAGTAAAAATTATATTATAACATTTTACGTATGTATGTATGTGTACCTATGTCTTTTTTATAGACGGCATTTATTTTAGTATATATGACTTTATGAAAGTGCCGACGTTTCGCGTTCTTTACAACCTTAAAAAAATACACTACGAACCAATATTTTATTTAGGTCTTTGACTAAACATTCAAGAGGTATTTGTGTATCTGTTGCATTATAGCTCCTAAACAGATGGACAGATTATGATGACGATTTGTGTCAAAAAGCCGTCGTGATCGAGATGGTTCTTAATTTATAAAAATATGTTTAAGCATTTCGAGGTCAGTTCGGGAGTTTGTTAAAAATATTAATACTTTGGTGAGAGTTTGAGAGAGTCTTGAGCGCTGTCGAACATGTCAAACTTAATGATTGACGATCTAGAATGGGGGCCTTAAAATACGCCCTTCTTTCGAAAAAAAACGAATGCATACTAACCCAGGTCCGGCCACATCCAGGCTGATATCCCAAAATGGATCGATAGTGGTAGAAACCCCAGAACAAGAAGTGCATACAACGTCACTCTGCAACCCTCCGGTGAATATCTGGTCAATGATGCAATTGCAGCGGCCGTTCTCTTTCTTCTCCCCATTATCCTCTACTCCGTTCATGCAGTGTCTTAAATTACAATAATAAAATCAATATCATATGCATTAGAAGAGTCCATACTGTTAGGTAAAGTTTGTGAGGTTAGGTAATCTCTGAATCTAGTGAACTGAATTTGAAAATTATTTCACCAATAGGAAGCCATGTAATTTGTGAGGATGTATAAAATAAAATAAATAAATCAGTGGCGCTACAACCTCTTTAGTTCTTGGCCTCAGATTTATTTATTATTAAGTAGGTGATCAGCCTCCAGTGTCTCACACACGCTATCGATTTTTTGGGTCTAAGACATGTCGGTTTCCTCACGATGTTTTCCTTCACTGTTCGAGCAAATGTTAAATGCGCACATAGAAAGAAAGTCCATTGGTCCACAGCCACGGATCGAACCTACGGCCAGGTATCCACTATGTTCGCGAACCTCTTGCGCTCCGCGCACTTGCAGCAGCTCCGAGTAGTGGATACGTTTGCGAACGTGGAGCGTGAACGGTGCGCGCTCCGCGCTCAGCGCTCCAATGGGTGGCCGTAAATTGGGCGAACACAAAGGGGAGCTCAGTCTGTTCGTGGACGCGAGCTATGGAGATACGCGTTACCGTCTCCATCAGAGCGATACGGGAGCGCGGAGCGCAAGAGGTTCGCGAACATAGTGGATACCCGGCTTACAACCTTAGGTCCTCGAGGATATTACCTTAAGTATTTGTTTTTTTTAGTTTTTTATATTCCTTACCAGGGTTGCCTGATCGCTTGTTAACGATAAGGCCGCCCGTTGCATTCTTAATAATTTATGTTATGTACTTGTTTTTATTTGTAACGAAGTTTTAATAAATAAATAAACTCAAAAGCTACTACACGGACTTTATTGCGGTTTTTACTAATGTCTAAAATGATTCACGAGGAAGGTTATGTATATAAAAATATATTAATAAATTTAACTAACATCACATTTAAAATATCCCTATCATAAATTATTACGACAGAACTTTATACACTAACTATATATTTATAACTAGATACACATGACATACCTATAATTGATAAGAATGACTAAATTTATTTTTCACTATATACTTATTTCATATATATTCTGATTATTGACTTAAAAATTGGGGATATCTTAAAATTATTGAAATCTAATAATTATTATAAAATGGTAATTATTTTACACGCACGCTGTAAAGCACGCAAAACGTCGGGAAAAATTTAAAATTATGCAAAATCATTACAAGTTTATAAGTGTTTTCTTTAAATGTGTAAAAGTTATGTTAATAAAAGACAATACTATTAAGCAGGCCGCACACCAGCCATACATTTGTAACTCGATAATTGTGGCGCTACATTTGAAACGCGACACATTTATCGCCCCCATACATTTGTACGTGAGCACGCACACCGAGGAAACATTTGTGGCGGGCGCACTTTGTGGCGAGACGTTGTCCGCGCTACACGAATTCAAGATCGAACACGTTCGTTTTTTGTGTCGCGTTGGTTTGCAAAAATGAAAGACAACATTGAATTTTACGTTGAGTTTATTGCAGAGGTTGAAAAAAAACCCTGTATTATACAATCACACGCTCAATGATTATAGTAACAGACGGATTACAGAAATTATTTGGACTAAGATTGGCGAAAAATTCAATGAAAAGAGTAAGTACCTACCTTTCTTTGTACTTAATCGTGCTACACTGTGTAATTATTTTGCCATGACACCAGCCCGTATGGTTTTAAGAAGTAATTACACAAATAATTTCGATTTTCTGTAGCATCGTTATTCGGTCTGCCTTGATTTATATGATTGGTAGTGGGGTTAGGTATATTTCCGTTTTCGGTTGGAGTTAAAATTATATTATCATTCTTTTTTATAAAGTTATGTAAAATACAAGCAGCTTTAACAATTTTGACTGCTTTGTCGACTGAACATGAAATTGGAGTTTCAAAAATTCGAAATTTAGACACTAGCATACCAAAGGTGCACTCGACAATCTTTCGTCCACGGGATAGTCGATAGTTAAATATTCGGCGATCATTGTTTAAAGATCTACTATTGTACATTCTCAAAGCGGTGCCACGCTACAACTGTGCTTCCGATGTGCGCATATACAATACATTTGTATATGCATACAATTGTAGCGCAACGATTGTGGCGACGTAAATACCGTAAATAACAAATGTATGCCTGGTGTGCGGCCCTACTTATTGAAATCTGTCACGCAAATAAAAAGAGCTGGTATAATAAACGTACCTATGAAGCACATCAAGTGTGGCTATGAAGAACTCGTGTGCATCCTGTTGCTCGTAGCCGGCAAGATGGCGTGCGTGAGTCCATATCAAGTGAAGAAGACGGTGTAGCGTCAGCGGTGTTTTTGCGCCCGAGTAAAATTCCTAATCATCATAATAATCATACATTAAAACACCAGAACCTTTTATATAGATTAAAACTTGAGTAAATTTATTAAAAAAACAATCATTAAAACTGTTTAATGCGCTTATAAAAGAGAGTTTTTTTAAGTAATTACGTAAACTATAACTAAACAAACTATTTGTATAAAAATATTTAAATAAACTCTAGATTCCGTTAAAATTGTTTTTGTTTACCCGGAAATAGATCTCTCAACGTATTGAATAACCAAATTCACTCTCCATATTTAAAAATAAATTCAATTATTTAGATAAAAAAATTATGATAATAGGCAAACTTTAATGTCTGGATAACGTTGCAAAGTGAAAAGTCTTTTAGAACCAATCTTGCACATTATAAATGCATACTTATAACGAATAAAGATAATTCCAGTATTTATTTATAAATAATGTATATTAAGTAAATTCCTTCGAAACTGAAACATTTTATATTTCCGTATTGAACGTATTGTCTAATTTAAATCTGATCCTCATATTAAAAACATAATAATTATTAAAGTAAAATCAACTACCTATACTAATAAATTTAAAATCACATCAAAGTGTAATACGATTGCAACAGGTAGCGTCCTACGTTATTGAATTGCCGGTTGAGCGCTGACAAATCAATATTTCGCGAGTTATTTATAGCGTACCTGAAACAGCTTTGAAACCTCGCACACGAGGCACTTCCCCGAACTTTGCGCTTTGCATTTATGCTTCTCGCCTAGGAAATAATCCCTCAGCAATGGCGTGTGAATTAATGTCTGAAATTTTTTGTTTTCTGTAATACCGCCTTTGTTACATAAAGCCTTTTTTTAAATATATATATATTGAGACACATGAATATTGATTCATCTGAATTGACTCAGCAGTTGTTAATTAGGATAAAATAATTTTAATCAAAAACGACTATCGATTTTTCATATATGTAATACCAAAAATTTATCAAATCGAACCATTTCGTATCTATTTAATCTCCTCGCAGCTGACATATTACATTTTATATTGAAAATCGCTCACATAAATATAGCGTTACGCATCATTATCAGGGATTAAAAAAATCTATAATGATGTCCTAAAAAAAACCTGAAGCGCGTCACAGGAGGCGCTAAACGAACACAATATTATGTCAAGGACTCAAGCCCGGAGAGCCGTTATGGTTCTTCCATTGCGAGTATCCGGATCCCTTATGACGTAATTCAAAATCATTCATATGTAGAATATAAGGCTCTTGTTTTGGAGTCCAAAAGTCACTTCAGGTCAATGCACCAGTATGTTAGTTAACTCAATATACAAATATTGTGCATGAGTAAGCACTACAAAATAGCTTGGTAACATCATCATAATCTTATCACTATAAATGTTTACTAATTAAAGGTAGGTTGTTTTTTTCTATTAGGTTATACCTTTACTTTAAGAAACTGCAGAACTGTTGCACATGTATATGCATATATTAATTATTTACCAAAAAGCTAATTCCATTGGATGTTGGCACAAGTTTCTTAGTACCTAAACTTACTTGGACAATGCAATTCATGAAGCATGTGGATCCTAGATTTTGTAATCCTCGTAGACCAATGGTTGTATGTGGGCCTATCATACGTCTTTTACGTAATCGTCGAAGTGCCAATGCTTCATTATTGTTAGGGATCCAAGGAGTAAATGGGACACACATTCCCAACGACCTAAACATATTGAATTACTAAAATAAGGCTGACCATACAAAAGGTATGTGCAATGAATTTAAACAATATCAATCCTACATGTATAATCACATCTGTTTATGTAACTATATTACAATACATATTTAACATTATTAGTTAAACATGTTATATGCTTTAACTTATTTAATTAAAGCACAAACTGCAGTTTCGGTTTCCAATAAAAACAAGTAGCAACACAGTTGTAACAAATACTAATAACTATAGTTTTTAAAGCTCTACCAAATTAAAAATTATGTTAAACAATGACATTTTATATACTTTGAAATTACTATTTACTCACTTAGCTTCTTTCAATCTATGCGACATTGCAATCTCAGTTAGTTCTCGATCATAAATGTAGTCTTGACACTGGGCGCAATAAACATTTCCATAGCTCAAGTCAACATAGAGAAAATGCTTTTTAGTTTTGGAATGCTCTTGAATATGTCCACCATAACATGCAAAATATATGCAGTGTAAACATGAATGCATTCTTGGTCCAGGTTGACCACAAGCAAAACAAAGACATGAAGTAGCCTAAAATAATAAAAAAAGGCACCATTATTTTATTAGTGTAAGCCTTCACTATTCTTGAATACAAAGCACCTATACACAATATTATTTCAAATGACAATGATGAATACAAAATACAACTTCTTAATAAAAAAAATCATTGGGTACACACATGTTGGGTCAATATAATGCCAACAATTTTATATGTATGTTGTTATATGAGGACAGTTGTGAATTAGATAGTAGTAAAATATTAAGCAAATGCTAATAGTATAGAATCTATTCATTAATGCCATGAAGTAATTTATTTCCAAAATGGACAAAGGATTAGGTGTTATATACAAAGAAACACATAAAACCTTTCGCAAGTCGACGTAAAAATTACCTAAACAGCTGAAGGTTACGGATCAGCTGATTACGCATCATCTTTTAATACCTACAAATTGATTGTCTACGACGCTAGGGGTATGTAATGAAGTTAAAAAAAAATAGTCTAAAAGTGATAGGCAAACCCTATTATTACCTTGTATCTTCTAGCTTCAAAGGATGTGCACGACACAAAAAATGCATGGATAATTTTATACGGATTGGTGCCTTTAGCGGCCTTAAAGTTGTTTAAGTGAATGCAACCTGTATCATTCATTTTGATTTGCTTGCGAAAAAGCCGATTAAGACAAACTGCGTCTTTTACCGATCTAAAACACAAACAATTTTAAATATATATATGGAGCGCCCTACATGCATGTAATTTTTTATATATTTTGATTAAATAAATTCTAGCTGTACTTTTCACTGGTCAAATGCTATTCAATAACTTGATGTTAAACCATTATCATCCTTTATTCTCTATTTTATCAAAACAAACGCAATGTAACAAAAAAGACGACCGACCCGCACCATTCAACTCACCAATCACCAGTCGGCACTCGGCTCGGCAGTCGGCACGAGTGTTGCCAACCAGCCTAATATTCAATTTGCTAATGTAATGTGAAAATTTTGCTAAAATTGTGTGCTATACAAATATTTTTAAAACTGGTAAACTGTATATAATTGAATAAAACGAATTTTTAATGATTCAATCATAACTATTGTATGTAATTTACATGTGTTTCTCCATTATTACGTGGATCTGTTGTTCATCATGTTGATATGGATGGTAGATGGTAGATCCTACCAGGAATTCTTCGGCATTGTCAAATATAGGCGTCTAACAAACGCTCATAACTTTCATGGATTAGAACTGACATGAAATGACAGACAGTGTCGGAATTTGTACACTTCGATAATTTAAAAGTTAGTCAGTCGACAAACATCATTAAAGGTGCGCTTACACGGGCAACTAAAATTGCTCAATTCCAGTCAATACTCGTCAAGTATGACGTCACGACTACATCAAGCAATTTACGGCAACGGCAACAAGCATCAATACTGCGCAATACAATATTGAGCGATATGGCGCAACTTCATCAACTAGGCAATACTGTCATACACGAGCATTTCAGTTTTCGCTCGCTATGGACGACATTGTTCTTGCTGCGGCGGTTTGTAGCGCTTTTTTTATCATTAATCAAAAACAAAAAAGAAAGAAAAGGAATAGGCGTATCTGGGTGCGATCGTTTTTGGCAAATAGGACAAAATTTTCATTATGTAAAGACTAAAGATGATATATTATTCAAAAACTTTACTAGAATGTCACGAACAGACTTTGAATTACTTTTGAATAAAGTAATTAGAAATTATTATTATTTAGACCTCTCCTCGCGGAAGCAAGACGGCAAGCCGCAAAACAAACAAGTGCGAATGAGACATATACAAAAATTGCTAGGAATTTCCAAGTAAATTGGATATTCGTCAATTCGTATCTGCGACATTGAGCGATATGAAATATCTGGAGCAATTAGAAACAATATCACCGAAATAATTTATTGACATTTATTGAATTTATTGAAATATTTTTTTTTTTTTTTTGTTTTTAAAGACACTTACTTTATTCTTCTCTTAATTCGCAAATTGCTCCATTAATTGCTCCAGATCGGTCCATTCGTGTCGCCGAGCAATTATTGCCCTCGTGTAAGCGCACATTTACATTATAGTTTTAGTTAAGAAGCGCTAAGGGCTAGATGGATACATACTATATAATAAATCTGCATTGAATTGTTAAAAAAAAATCTTTACGCTGAACAAAAAAAGGGTGCGTGTACTTATGTACGCGCGTAAGAAGTTATACTACTTTGGCATTATTCAAAATAGTTCTTGATTGCATGCAAATAATTAATTACAATTAAATAATCAAAGACTGGAAAAGGAGTCATTATAGTCAATAAAGTTCAGTTTACATTTGAAAAATTAAATAAATATTTATTATTATTCTCTTGCATTAAGTGTAACATAAATTCTATTATTATTCGAATGTTATTTTTAAATTATGTCCAATGCCGTAGCATCTTCCGTGGGCAACTTCATTCTGTTAATTTTGTGTCACGGTGCACGCGCATCGTATAATTTCACTCTCATCAATTTTTCATAACGCGCCTAAAAAAGTATAACTTCAAAAATATGCCAAAATCATAATAATAATATATATAATAAAATATGCGAAATTAGTGACGCTGGACAGCACTTGACAATTATTATCTCCTTTAATTGTACTAAATGCTGCTTACTCATAGACGGACTATGGTATAGACCAGGCATCAGCGTACAGCATGTGAGATAGCGAATGATTGACATAACTTCATAATGCCACTAATATTGCCATGAGAAAAATTTTCCCTATTTTGTGGGGTAATTTTTACTATGAGAAATATCCCATAAAAAAAAATCAGGGGGTGCTCACTCACTCCACACGCATATTAATCAGTTACGTTAAATTAAACCACACCCGAACACTCTATACAACCGCTGCGTAGTAACTGTTCTACCTAATACACCATATACTTTCATTATAGGAAGTGTGTGTAATGCACAGACGCCGTTTTTGTACACGCACAGCAGTGTGCGTGAAGTCTAGGGCTACCGGGCGTTTTGAGTTGGATGCCAGTTTAATCTACTGGTACACTCAGTCCATTTATTATTTAAAAACGGTTCATTGGGAAAACTGAAAAAAGTGGAAAATTTATTCAAGTGCTGGTAGCCCCAAAGAGTTATAATCCAACTATTTACAAAGGACACGAAGTGTGGCAACTACCTGACGTAGGTAATATGATTCGCAATTTAGTCGGTTAGCACTGAAAAATATGTTTGGAATTGTCGTATTTACAGTTTTAATTCATTGAAGATTGCTTATTCTTTACAATATATATTATATAATATATTGTAAAATACACATTCGAATGAATAATTCTTGAACAAAGTTACTGAGTCGTGACAAAATAAGCTACTTACCGATGAAAGGTTATGTTTGGTTCTTTACGTTCACTATAGCTTTTACAGCCAATTATGCAACAATTCACCATGGCTGACACTTTAAATACACCTCTTATAAGGATAAAGTCTTAAATTAATATGGGTTTGACTTGGGTTTCACAGATTTATGACAACATTGTGGCAATGTGGCAAATTGGTGACATTTTGTTTACCACCAAGCGCTCGGTGGTAAACAAATAAAACCCGATACGCAAATAGAGACACAAAAACTGATACTCTGTTTCGCTCGCACTTAAGTATTTCACGTTAATGCCTTGTCTGATCTCTCTTTAGTTATTATTGTTATTTTAGAAGCTCATCTAGTTCTATACTCTATCTACGTGCTTACTTTTTGCTACTGTGCTACTCGCTAATTTTTAAACTTTTTTTTTGCCATCAGATCCTGGTAGACCTATAGTTACTAGTTACTTGTCATCTCTAGGTCGTCTCACGCCTATGACAGTAGCATCGATAACGTGACCTTGATAGTCCACTTAATCACAGATTTGAATAGGTTTGAAGATAAGTATAAATATAGAATCCTCAGTGTAAGGTTCCGAGTCAAGACTAAGTGCAAACTATGACTCCTGTCCTCCTAAAGATAATACGGGCGTGTATGATAATTATTTCTCAAATTGGTCGAAAAACTTAAGCCAAGACCCAGGAAAAATGCAGTCATATCAATCATTGTCAAAATGAGAAGCTTAAAAATGGGATTGTCAAAGTAGTAAATAAATATGGCCGCCATTTAATCTTAACGATGTTAACTTTTGTTTATGTTTTTAATAAATTTTAAGAAATGATAAGTGAATTTGAGAATTTGTCTCTTGGAGGAAACAATTCTGCAAGCAGTCATGCAGATCCATTTACACATACTGGTAAATATGTCTTAAATTTCGTGTACGCTGTGGTTGTTGACCTCAATGAATATCTACTTGTATTTGGCTGGTTACCGTTCAATCTTCAATCTCACTTCCCGTATTTATTGTTTTTCAGAGTTAACACCCGAACAACAAAAGACTTTAATTGATATACGACGGCGGAAGACGGAATTATTGTTGGAGATACAGGTTAGTGTTAATCCTTATTGCACATTATATTACATTAGTAAAACTGTCAGTAAACCTCAGTACCTAGTAAAGTTCTATATAAATTTAGTCAATCACTACTTATAAGTCATCATGATTTAACAACTACTGTGTAGTAACATAATACAAGAGAAAATTCTAAATAGTACTTATATAAAAAGTAACATCATATTAAACATAAACAATGCCCAATAGGATACTGTTAAGCATTGACTTGGAAAACTATTGAGTGAAAGAAAACTAAGATTAACTTATGTATTTAGTCTATCTTAAAGAAACAATGCAATATTTAAGAACTTGTTTTTACTGGATTTGTAAAATCAGTTTATTCAATGATCCTTTGATCATGAATAACAATTAAAAATAACCGATAATTAAAACAAGTTCTATATTATTAAAGGCTACTAAATTATGCAAAGACTTATAAGTAGGAAGGTGGTTATCTAAATTGAGTAGGTAATGGCTTGTTTATCTAGTTATTTACCTAGAAATTTATAAATTACTATTAATCCACACTTTATCGCTTAATGTTAAATGTTATAACTTCATTGACAAACCCATTGTGAAGTAGCAGTAAAAGCTAACTATAATATGATTATGGATTTTTATTTAGATTATATGTGTATAAGCTAATATAAACTAGAATTTAAATGTAATGAAAGTCAAATAGGTAATATGAAAAACAAACACTCTAATTTGTTGTTGTGGTTGTTGGTCCCTTTTCCTTTTAATTTATAGATTTGTTATCTGCCAATTAAAAAACTTAATTCAGGCAAATTTCATTTTTGGATTTTCATATAGTCCAAACTATATCATAGGTATATAAACCTCTAGAAACTGGTGGATTAGACTTAACTTCAATAAAAGTTTTAATTTATTAAAAACCATAATCGTAGGTGAAACAACCCTTTTCCTTGGCCTCAGATGTCTGTATTGTTTTTGTTAATCTTCTTTATAGACTGCCATGTAAGGCTTCTATGCCTGACATGCGGTGTAAATTCTTGGATGTTAGGGTGATACTTAGAGTTGAAGTTTAGTGCTATGACTACCGTATGCCAATAATGTTTTGGACTTTTACATGGGAGTCAAACTTAATGCTAAGCCTAGACTATCACATTTCAAAACAAACCAGTTACCTCACGACAATTTCCTTGACCGTGAGTGCTGCAATGTCAATTGCCTAGTGGCTCATATTCGCCTAATGGCCAACAAATTTATGTGAATAAACTTAATACATGTTCTTGTTAATTTATTATATTGGGTTGTTTATTTGTTACGCTATAATTTATATACTCACGATTTTTTAGTGTTGTCAAAAGTTTAAATTATTAAATTTACTATTTAATAGACATCAATTTTACTGATACATTTTGTAAATAGAAAATTGTGTGCAATAATAAAAAATATACGTTTGTATACAATTTAAAAAGAATCGGCTTTAAATGACGGGTACCTATTTTTTTTTAACAAAAGGCAGACCTTTTCATTGAAAAAGCTGTTATATTATCACAATGTAAGGCATCAATGCAAGCTTTTACTACGGTTGAGGGGCGACGAGAGAGGCATGACAGTGCGTACACCAGTAACTGGCGGGGCGCGTTGTGAGCGTGACGTGTGGTGGCGTCAGTGACAAAACTGAGCTCCAGTGTAAAGCTATATTAAAAACGCATTAATTGAAAAGTTTTAATGTTGTGATATTTTAAAAGGTTATATTTTGTGACGACTATCGCATTCTAGCGTAATAACTAATTAGTAAGTTTGCAGTGATAAGGCGAGATAAGTGGAAATTGCTATGACTACGTTGGTTCTCGTTGATTTTGTATATTAGCTTGCGTCTTATGCCTTAGATGTTAATTAATAATTAAATAATGTATAGTTTAAAATTAACTTTACATATTTCCAAGTGTTAATTCATGATTATTATGCAGTAATATTGCTTAATTTATTATCAAGTAAAGAAATATTAAATGTACGTAATAAGACAACATGTTATATTTCATATTACGTTCGGTAGAATTCTTACAGTTATTTACTACCCACAAATTTATAAAAGTGTTTCTATGGTTAGTTATGTAACATAAACCTTATTTAAAGTTTTTAGGATTTTTTTCAAACTGTTGTTTAATCAGGGTGATCAAACTAATTAAGCAGGTTAGTTGTTGTATTAGTTAATAATAGAACTCGATTTTGGCTGTCGATCAAATGTTTTATCAACTCAAGTCGTATTTCGTGTTATTTAGATTTACAATTCCTTTGTTTTGGAAATTAATCTTATTTCTATTAAAATCATTTACATGTAATGTTTAATATTTAATTAGGTTCATTTATACTTGTTTGTTTGAACATGATTCATCAACATGTCTACACACCATCCATTACTGCTTTAACAAAATCTTTTAAAAGCAATACTAACAGTATTTTTGCATTTCTGTTATATAATGTTATATTAATAATAATTTATAATATATACAAATATCGATGTTTTTATCAAAAATTGTTGCTCGTTGGCACAAATTGGACCAAAATTAACGAATTTTTAACATGTGCAATTGGTTTTTGATTCAATTAAGCAATTGATTTCAGAAAAGACGTTAAGACTAAACAAATTTGAAACGAAGCAAAACTTGCAAACTAAGATTTTACCACTGAAGTAGAATCCCCTTGAATGTCTATATGTATGTGTATAATCGTACATTACGTCTTGACCTTACCCTTCCTTGTATAAAAATTCCGGTTTTTCCCATATTATACAAATTGGACAATCGTGTTGATTCATTTCTCTTATCATATTTCCTCTGAACACTTCCGGCCCTGTATTTCTGCTTTTGATAGTAACTCCCACACTTCAATTGCAAAAAGTAATGAGTAATAAAATAATATTTTATGTAGTTAGATTTACTTAATGTTTGCAAAACTTTTTATTTCGTTGTAATGTATAGTTTCAGAATTTTACTTAGAATATACAATACAACCGGTGATAACGGTTGGTTGCGTTTACTCATACGTGTTGTAAGATAATTATTATCTATAGGTGTGCGTATAGTTGTTGTCAGTTGTCACATTGCCAAACTGTAGTGGCGCTCGCGCCTGTCTTCAGTCTATAACGTTCCTTAGCGGGAAGTGTATGGCGCGCGATGTGTTTACATTTTCGCCTTCTGTGCGAGGCGCTCTGGTGGCCGGTGCTGTTGAGATGTGCCCGTCCTACGCACACCTATGATGACGACTATGATCAGGTGCGTTAAATACGGTAAAGATGCCGCTTTATGCACAGCAGAGTATTGGCTTCGTCTATATTTGGCAGTAAGACGTAGGCTAACGACACTCATATCGACAATCTGTAGTCATTAAAATTCCACTTGTTTTGCTTTATAAATTCCTTAATTTTCTTATCGGGCTTGTAGATTTTGGTCCTGCTTCAATTACCTTATCCGTAAAGTAGGCTGAGACTTGTGTTTGCGAAGTGTAATGCGTTTGGTGTGTTAGCGCTTGTGAAGTTATGTTTATCAAAGCCGGGCCCGTGGCCGCTGAAGATGAGCGCCGTGGCTCGGTTTCAAATTGGTTTTCTTCATTGAGACGAGGAGGTCGGCGTAAACGCGAAGAGAATGGAGTACCATCAAATTATGGGTCTTTGGGAAGACGAAAGGATGGTACTCAATCGCGCGGCAAAACGAGATCTGCGTGGGATTTAACAACGGTCACAAGAATGGTCTGTATTTTGATATTATTTAGATTATTAAAGGCGAAAGTTAAGCTTCACTAGCGATTGAACTTAGCTGGAAAATGAAATTTTGGCCATAATCCAAATTTGCTGAATCGATCCTGGTACGGATACTGCGAGCAGAACGATGACTGGACAGTATTCAATGGTATCGCGGTCCTCGCTGTTCATAATGTTATTGTTACATAGTCGAATGAAGAGATCACTGCATTATCTCCCTTCGTCCCACGACCTATTACAATAATAATGCGGGTGTATTTATTTATTCAATGGCTTATTTAATCTTTTAATCGAGGGGGCTTGCATTTGTTAAATCTAGGCAGAAATCTTTTTTACTTACAAATTGTAATTTATGACTCACGGTTTTTCTATCAATTACATTGTCTAATGATTTGTTTATTGTATTAAAGATAACAATATTCAACTAATGGTCTCATTTATCATATCAATATTTATTGTTAGTCAAATTTAGATTATAAATGTCCCTTTTTAATATTTTGTAAGTTTCCTAATATTAAAAAAAACACGGTGATACCACAGAAATGTATAAATTTGTAGTGTAAGGTAATGAAAACAATCAAATTTAAATTAAAGAGACATAGAGCTGTTAAATTTTGTCATCAGGGCAAACTTGTACCGACATGGTAGTAAAAGACCACGTGCTCCGGTTGCACGTGGTGGCGACGTTCATAGTACATACATAGAATCTAAATTAAGAAATGTTTTTAAAGCAATTTTCTAATAACATTCATGTTCTAATAATATAAAACGTATTTTGAATGACGTCTGGAACTGACTAAAAGTGTGTCGGACCCAAATTCGCTTTAGGTTTGGTGCCAATTACAAAGGTTTACAGTTTGACATACCTTGACCGTAATTACTTCCGTTCAACTGTTTTAGAAAGGATTCTTTATTAATTTAAAGATTTTATTTAAAATTTCGTTGTCCATATGTTGTTAGAACATTAAGATAAGATCAGACTACCTTGTATCACTTGTATGTAAATGACATGGACGGCGATATTTAGTATTAAATCGAAATCGGAAAAAAAATCGGGACATATAACACAGTAAATAAGTTTGTGTCCATAAAACGGAGTCGTTATTTTTCCTCTGTCCTTTTTTTCTTACGGTACGCTGCACAATAGTTATCCCACATTTTTTGTTTCCACTTACTATCTTACCACGTCCGAGTTACGACGTTTGATGCACTTTATTGTTACAACGTTGAACGCTCTTTCACTTGCAGACTTCACAACTATCCAGCCTTCGTGAAGTACTTTATATATAACAAATATGTTGATAGTATACATGCACTTACTTCGCTTGTAGCAAACATTAAATAATTTATTCTCTAGTGTACATTCTTCTAAGAACTTTCAAGTGCGAACATTTTCGGCTTCGACGGCAGGTAATCCTAACCGTAAAATTTATCCCTACTGTTATTGTAAGACCCTGATTTTATTATTCACCGACCAACTCGCCTACATAGCATTCTTCTCACTTATTTAAATTATTATTCTCAAAACGTGTCGAGAAAGGAAATGTAGAATTGTGCTATTCTTAGCAACAGTTTTAAATTCGCCACGAGCGTCTTTTTGTCAATAAGAACATTCGTGACTTAGTTGTTAGAGTCGAGGTGCATGTTAGTATTCATATTAACGAACACACCATCTAGTTCGTTATACATTACCATCTGAATATCATTTTCTATTCAGACATTTTTTTAAATTTAATTTAATTTTGTCTTACCGAAATCACATGCCAGAGTTTTCTTCTTAATTGGGCTTTTATTTTTGGAATTTACGGACATCGTCTGATAATTACGTCTCAGTGTTAAACTAATATAAATAGCTTAGAAGCACACTTAACAGTGCTATGATTTTAGTTAAAGAATGACGATAAATAAGGCCTTAATACCACACAAATACAGTTTAGATTAATTACCTCCCATCAAATTTTTAAAACGCTAATTGAAAATAATGATTTCGTGCCAATTTACACTTGCATTTTCTACATACTTTTTATTTAATAGCTGCAATCACCCAGACTCCGCTGACCTTGAATCTGTATCCGCATTGCGTTTGGCAAAAGAAAGATTCTCTGTACTGAAAGTTATTAGTTTTTTAATTAGTCTATAACAATTGTCCTTGCGAGCCATTTAGTATGTGTAGTGAAGTGTGTCAGTTGAAATACTTAGGACATAATTATCACAAGAATGCAAATTAGACTTATTCGATGGCTCTAATAGCTAATGTAATTAGCGTATTTGTAGAGTATAGCAGCCACTAGATTGTACATTAGCAGTGATTTTCACAAACTTTACTTGTAGTAAATACGCTCTGCTATAAGCAAACACTTTGACAGACGGTCCACTTTAAATAAAATGTCAAAAATTGCGATGCAATTCAAAATCTCTATTTTCTTTCAATTCGGCTCCGTGCCAAAAACTTCTGCAGTACGATTGTTTGTCAGTTTTCTAACAAGTTTAAACGTAGCATGTATTTCCTTATTGATTAAATGAGTTGTTTTCGATAGATCTTGTTTCTAGAATAAATCTAGACGTAATTGTATGCTTTTTTGTTTTTGTTGGCATTGTTGTGCGTCGTTCCAGGAATAGTTTTTGTCAAAGGGAGTTGACCTTGCCAGGGGAACGGAGGGAAGGTGAGTAAGAACTAAGCACGATCGACGACTTGCTCGACAGGTTTAACATGCATTGCGTTATAATAACCGCCTTTTACAGTTAGATATCGCGACAATTATTTGCAAATTTTATTGTTCTCCAAGAACGGTGCAAAATAGAATGTTATTTCGAAACGAAACCTCAAATACCCTTATCTGTTTATAGTTTAAACTTCTATTGCAAAATGCTTTTTATTATATTTTCCATACATGAAGTTTTAGAGATGTGGTTATTAAAATGATTATAATAGTGTCCTCGGCTTGGTACCCGAACATGACCTCGACAAGATTAATAAGCTGATCTAGAAAATTCGATGGTCTAGGGGTACTACGATCGAGGTTGCTGACAAACTTAAGTATCTGAAAAAGTCATTGTAGTTGCCTTTACGTTGGCATTTCTAAGAGCGTTGCCACTTGCGCATCTTGCGACATTTAGATCGCTTAACATTTGAAAAATCTGCTTCCCGTGAAGATATAATTAAAATAAGTGATGTTTTATAAAGAAGCCCTTCGGGTGTTTTCACAGACATGTGTCGGGAAACGTTGCTTCGTTTATTTTCCTTCAAAGTTACTCCTGTTTAATGTTACCCGCATGTCCTTTGTCGTTATAAACTAAGTTCAAGTTATTTTTAGACAAAGTAAACACGCTCTCAAAGTCAACAGTTTTGAAGAGATTAACTGAATACCCTATTTTTTGGGTCTGTTTTAAATTTCAAGACACTTGAACTCTACTTGACTTTTTTTATTGCATGGATTGATATATGGATAAAACATGTTTAGATACTAAATAAAAGATACGGAATAAATAATAGTATAAAACATTAAACATTTGTGTCCACAGCAGAAAATAATGCAACATAAATATTTATATAAATGTTTTGGTTGTAAAAATATGTGTTATGATTAAATTTCGTGTTTCACAATTTTTGTAAAGTAGTTAGTGAAAACAACTAACCTAATAGTACAAGGAAAAATTGTATATTGAGATGAAAAGAAATTCAAACAAATAATTGTAAAATATGCGTTTTTATTCCACCAATTTTCAATATTTCTACGCCTAGACGACTCTAAGACAATAGGTGCTATTTGTTTGACTGTAATTGAGTGTAAAGATGTAGTAGTGATATACTTCCGCGTTCTACGGCATTGAACTTTATCACACCATGTTGTAATTATTTTAGGCGCCGCGCTTGTACTTACATCTCTGATAGTCATGTTTATATACGGTCATTACAGCCGCTTTATTGCCCTCATTAAACAATATGTCATACAGAATGTAAGGTAAATAATCAACGACACTCTTTTCATATATTCACTTTACATTTAGAATGTACAAATGCCATGGTCACGGCCAATAGAGTGGTTTCTATGATCCCACTTGAAAACATTCCGTGATGATAAACAGGGTATCTACTCTTGAGGTTTAATATTGCTTTTAACTCATTCAATATCTAAGTATAGCGTTTGATTCATATTATTAATTATATTTATGGGTTAAAACAGCTGTATTAAAAATACATTTCATACAATTTACCTGGCGTACCGGAATGACTAATAGAAATAGTACATGCAGCTTACACCTGCCTTAATTGGCCTCATTTATTTAATAGTTAGGTTAAAACTATGTTATCTATTGAAGTTCGTTAAATTTATCAAAAATATAATTCTACGTCATTTATGTACAACTTCCGGTATGATAACAAGTGATGGTCCGGTCACTTTTATAATTCATTGATGTTCATTTATGTCTGTTAATTAAGAAACTTATACCAAGCGCAACGTGGTAGATAATAGATAACAAGAAAGGTAATTAAAGTTTTGCTTGCCACATAAAAAACCTGTTTAGTATCTTAATTCATTGAAATTCAAATATTTAAGAAATGCCGATGAGTCATTCTGGGTTAATTTGACAGACGCAGGCGACCTCGGTGCCATTATCGGACAGGCATTATGCATAGGTATTTTCATATTGCACATTCCTCTTGTGTCTTGCACCTAATATTAATACGTAAAGAAAACCTTTTGATAATATGTATATATGAATAATAATATTTTAAAAGAAATCACGTTGCAAATAAAATATTGCCATATCGAATTCCATTTTGCTTGAATGTCATTGACGTTGTTTGAATTTGTGCGGGCGTTGGCCGAAGTCTTTGCATGTGTTTATCGCCCCACTGCTTCTATACGAGCCGTCTCATTAGCTCCCTCCGCGAATACTTTTGTTTTTATTCTGTCTGTTTAGCCCTTGCAAATGGGACTGTAAGCACAAAACAATTGTTATCTATGGAGCTTGAAAGCGTTTATCCAATTTCCAACATTTAGTTTGAAAGATAGCAGTAAATTACATTTTTATTGCGA